CTGGAAAGACCACTTTCCACTACCTTCCAACCGCTATTAGACCGTTAAAAAACCCGTTAGAGAATCGCTAGCTTATATATAATAATATCATAAATAGAAACACATAAATAAGGAAAAAAACATAATATATATATGTATACTAAATCATTACTTACTAGAAAATTTAATGACTAAAATGAATTTTGCTTTGAATGCATCAGTTAGTAATTTTCCTTAGTATGTATATCATTATAAAATATAAACCCTAGACAAGCCACATGCGGTCACCTCTCTGTCCCACTTTCCCACCATCATTTCTCCTCCCTTTCTTCTGATGCCAAAAGGGGCACAAAACAAAGAAAAGTGAAACCCTCCCTCTCTCGATCACACTTCCCTTCTGTCCCCTTTCTTTCTCTTCTCGTTCCCTCTCATTCGCGTCTCTCTTTCCACTTTCATCCTTTGATTTTACATCTACCCGAAGGGAAGGAATGCAGTGAGCATCAGAGGAAGAATACGCTAATACCACCTGTGGGAACATTGATCGAGGTTGGGGTCGCCGGGTTCAGTAAGCCAGAGATGAAAAGCTTCGTCGGAAGAAGCCCTATAGATTCTTTTTAATTGGGCAGCCTTTTATGTGATAATAGCTGTCAGACGGTCTGAGCGGCACGAACGGTTATCCATTTTGGCTGCCCACTGACCGGTCTTTCCAACTGTAGTGGCTTTTAAAGGATTCTGACCCGAATCGGCCAATGGGTGCCAGTTTTACCGATTGGACCGGCCAGTCTGGGTCGGCTTTAATAAACTGTTTTTAACAAAGATTCATCAAGGATTTCTCCAATATTTCTCTTCTCCTGAGGATGCTTCTTGAGAAGTATGTCCCATTTTACTTCACTACAGAGGTACAACAACTTTTGAGCTTTTGAAGAAAAAGCTTGCAGAGGCTCCGATGACAGTGTCACTCGACTGGAGCCTCCCTTTCAAGCTGATGTGTGATGCGTGCTATTATGCAGTTGGTGAAATTCAGGGTAGAGGCGCGACAAGTATTTCTAGCACATTTATTATGTCTCCAATACCTTTAATAATGCCCATGAGAATTACACCACTACTAAGAACAAGTTGTTGGCTATTGTGTATGCATCCAACTCTTTATGCCCTTACTTAGTCCATTCTCATTTCATCGCCTACCCAGATCATTCAGCAATTAGGTTCCTGATGAGCAAGGCTAATGATGTAAACACGCTAGTCCTCAAGAAAGTCAATTTCCAAGAATTCCATGTAGTGTTGAAATCGAGGAAGCAAAAAGTGCTAATTTTGGCTAATAGCAGAAAAAGCTTCAAGGTAGCTACTTTGGACCCTTACTCGCTCATATTGAGAGCCATTCAAGGGAAGCTAGGAGTTAGAAGTGAGAATACAAGTCTTGCTGAAGATCGTGAAGGCTTTGAATGAGAAGATTGAAGTTTTCAGGACACCAAAAGAGCAGCCTAAAAATCGTATGGTTATGAGCAAAAATACCCTGATTGAAGATGTAATTCTCCTCCTAGGGATTTAAACAGGGGGTTCCCCTGGGGTCAAAAGTGTTTTCCCCGCCCTGGGATTTGACGACCTAACCCAGGGAATAGTAGCTAACGAGATTATTACCTTTTGTGTTAGGATTCTTTTCCTTTTTCAGTATTTAAATTTCCTTGTTAGTAGAATTAGGCTTTTGTTTTCTATTTAAAGGTTGTTAACGGAGTTTAGAGACTAAGAATTTGATTAATTAAAAAAAATCTTTTTGTTCATTGATCTTTTGGCTTGTCAATTTTGCTCTCGTCGTTGGTGGAATCCCATCACGTTGAGTGTGTCTCTGTATCAATCGAGCATTCTACTTGATTGTGGTCGAGATTCTACCCTTATATTGAAAAAGCCTTCTCCCATCTGTGAGATTACAATTTAATTCCATTTTATCCCTATATTTTATTCTTATTCTTAGCTACGTGAATTTGATAGCTATGAGCATCAGTTTCGTGCTTGTATGAGATGATGCCAAGCCTTGACTCATACAATGGATCCTTCTTCTCCTAGAATTTGACATTTGAGATTAAGGAAAAGAGGAGAGCGTAAATTCAGGATGTCGACCATCTATCCGACTTGTTGGTCCTTCTACGAATAAATTTGAGGAGGAGATCAATGAATCCTTCCTGGATGAGAGACTTCTGATGATGTGTCTGGTAGATAGTGCCACCCACCTCCAATATTTTGATTTTGATAATTATCTGGTGGGCAAGCAGCTGGCCAAGGGGACGACTACTCTATAGAAGCAAATTTTCTTTGTCAATCTGCGATATTACTTCTACGATGATCCATACCTGGTCTAGATCATAGCTGATGGTGTTATTCGCTGATGTATGATGGAGGCGGAGATGTAGAACATCCTTACTAACTACCAAAAGGATTCCACTAGCGGGAATCATGGCAGTAACCGCACAACGCAGAAGGTATTGTAGTCAGGTTTCTACGAAACCTCATTCTTCAAGGATTCATAGACCTTGGCACGAAAGTGAGACCACAACCCGCATTCTGGTAACATTCTGCTCAAAATGAGATGCTCCAAAACACTTATAATTTTTAAAATTGTTTTTAATTGGGGGATCGATTTCATGGGTCCTTTATCTTCTTTCGGTTACAAATATATCCTAGTTGATGTTGATTATGTCTCGAGGTGGACTGAATAACAAACTTTCCACACCAATGATGCTAGGTGTATTTGTGCATTTATGAAACAACTCTTCTCTTGGTTTGGACACCCAGGTAAATCATTAGGGATATAGGTACCCACTATCAAATACGGTTTGATAAGCTCCTCACTCGCTATGGTGTGACTCAAAAGGTATTTATGGCTTACTACCCTCAACGAGTGGTCAAGTCGAGTTGACAAACCAGGAGTTGAAGCACATTCTAGAAAAGATGGTGGATCAATCCTGCAAGGATTGGTCCACCAAGCTTGATGATGCTTTGTGGGCCTATCGCTCAGCTTATAAGACATCTATTGGTACTTCATCATATAGGTTTGTCTATTGCAAGGCTTGCCATCAGCAGTTTGAGCTAGAGCATAAAGTCTTCTTGGCCCTTAAGTTTCTTAACCTTGATTCTTTTATTGTAGGAGATGAAAGAAATTTTCAGGTTCTAGAGCTGAAGGAATAGAGGTACCACGCTCATGAGAACATGTGACTATACAAAAAACAAACGACGCGTCTTCACGATTCTCACTTGAATGAGATCAAGGAGTTCCGCTTGACAATCGAGTTATCCTCTATACCTCTCGCTTAAGGCTATTTCCTGACAAGATAAAGTCCAAGTGGTCAGGACTGTTCACGATTAGCTGAGTTTTCCCTAATGGCGTGGTGGAGATCTCTCTCCCGCAAAACCAAACATTCGAAGTCAATAGCCATCACCTAAAGTTGTATTTGGATGGGGATGTGACCCACAATTAGGATGTGCTGCTCCTCAAGGATCCTTAATACTCTCACTACGTACATCTAAAGATGTACAAGAAACGCTAATTGTGAGGTAGCGCAACCTTAGTTTGCATTTTGTTTCCTTTTTTTCTTCTGTTAGTTTTGGTGTGATTTTAGTCTGCGATGTGTCAGTCTCGAGTCAGTTCGGACCCTAAGTGGATGAATATTTGTCTATGGATGTTTGAGTTTCCAGTTTAAGCCCAGGAATGTCGTTAAACGAAAAAAATTGGGCCATTTGTTGTTTTCTGGCGTTTCACAATTTTTCCTAGCATCTCGTGGCCGGAGAGAGGTTGTGAGACTGGGCGTGATTTGGCTAATGCTGAGAGATAGGACATGAGATGGCACAATACCCCCTGCCTTTTTCCTGTATCTCACGGTTGTTTGTATATCATGGTTGTGAGACGGCCATCTACTCGCCTATAAAAGGGCGTGCCCCCATTCCTTGTCGTGAACCACAACCCTCGCCGGAATCCTCTCTCTCGCCAAAAACCTTCAACCTCAGACGGTTTTTGATCAAAACCCTCTCTTCCTGGCCACCAAATTGAAAATTGCAACCAGACTCATTCCCCTCCCTTCAATGCACCTTTGTCGAGAAGTTGATGGCGATCGGCTCCGGTCAATCTTGCGTTGGTGACACTGCAGCCACATTTCAGCGAGCACTTCCGAGCATTTTTTATGTTTTATCATGCTCGTCATCCTTGGCCCACCTTTCCCTATACATCTACTTGGTTTTCCATGTCTGTAAATTCATTGATCTTTTTTAATTTCGGAAAATCGATGTCTAGGGTTATTAGGTGCAGAACTTGGGTTCATTTTTGTGAAAATGGTTGAATTGGGTAAGGGCACCTCCTCTTTGTGATTGCTTGCATGTTATATTTCATGGATGTTGTTTGAATGTGGTCTTGGGGGGCATAGTTTATTCAATTTTGTTACTTTTTCTTTCACTGGCCACCAAGTGTTTGAGTAATCGCATAGTCCCCATAATGTTAGAAGGTTCGTGTTACGTGCCCTTTCAAGGTTGTTGGGGACTTATTCGTCCTTTCCTTGGTTGTTTTGAGATGTATATATGAGACATTCAATGGTTTGGTTTTCCCCCGTGTGTGTACTTCGTGCTTTGTCGTGCAGGTGTACACCCTACTCAACCTTGCTTTTAACCAAGTGTTGGGGAGGTTTTTACCTCTTCTGAAACTTCATTGCTAATCCTTTCACGCTCTATGATGTACTTTTCTTTGTGGTTACATGCTATGACATTTTATCGACATCCTTACCTTGACTACATGCTAAATTTTTCTTTCGCAGAGTAGTATGGATTCCCCAGGTTAGGTCACCAAGCGATGATGAACGCCTTGACTCGATGCTGAATTTGAGTGACAAACTCCCCCTAAGATCACTTCTGTCTACCACTTTTATCGCGTCTGCAAAAATCCCAAGGTGAAGACCATGCACTTTAGGCCCTACATCACCAGGCTTGCCTAGTACTTTGGCATCGTCCTCACTATGTGCACCCTTATTGGTTGCACCGTTGATCTACCCAAGTCCTTGCTGATGCACATCCAACTTCTGTAGTAGGCCCATGACATCTGGTACCTCCACCACCTTCCTCACCCACCTTTCTCTGATGTTGCTCTTGTTGCTCACATGCCTTTTGATGATGAGCAACAGCAGGTTCCACCTTCGCCTTTTGCTCCACCTCAGGCTAGCAAGCAGGATGACCAGGTGGCTCCTTCTTCCGACCACTCTGCGCATCTCGATGCTTTGGATAGGAGGACTAGTCACATTAAGACCATGTGATGTGGCTCTTTGCCACTTTGGACTCGACGTGCTCGCTAAGGACCGAAGCAATGAGGAGTGATGACCCCCCCCCCCCAACCCCCAAACGGCTCCTTAGTGTGTTTGTGTTTTTTTTTTGTAATTATTGTTCAATTTTTGTTTTGTGAACTTATGTGTAGGTCTGTATTAACTCAACCCCTTTTGCGTGTTTGATTGTGTTTGTTGATAATCTTGAGTTGCTCCTGGTGACTAGTCTGTTTCTAGTCCATTCACCATTAATCATTTTTTCGTTAACTTCATTCCACCTTCTCTTTATCTTGCTCCATTGAGGACAACATGATAATTATGTGTGTGTGTGTGTAGGGGGGGGGGGGGGGGGGTGATTATTTTATATACATGGCTTTTGAACGAATTTTTAGCCTATGTTGAGAGTGCTTGGAAACTAGTCCATTATCCAAATTTTTAATTTGAGCGCTCCAAGTACATTGTTCTTTGAAATTACCAGCTCAGTGTACTTTGAATTGTTAGTCCCGATGGTAGTATGCAATCTAGAGAGACTAGTGTACTGCTATGGAGGATATTGGCGCATTAGATGTTTCTTGTCTACTTCATACTATGTTGGTTGACATGTTGCATAGTCGTGTTAGGACTTACGATTTGTACAGTGTTGATGGCTCGCACATGTTGTGGCAACCCTTCATTTGCTTGTTGGGAGTGCACATTGGGAAAGGGTGTATGAGAGATTCAGATTAACATCCAAATTTTACCATTCCTTTGCCATCCTTTCTAGCATCACTTTCCCCTCATGGACTACATTCAGAAGTGAATGTACTTTCTTCTCTAGTCATGAGAACCAGATTGAATTCTAACCAATAAGGTGATGCACTGCGCAACCAAATTTATAATGAAGCTCTAAAGTTTGAGCTTCTTTAAAGAAAGAGAACCTAGCATGAGTCCATGATTTTCAATGTTTTGTGAGTCTTCATTCGCAAGTCACTTGTCCTATCTTTACAATTCGGCATGTCTGACTCAAGACTAGAGTCCTCACCAAGGTGATTAAGTCATGACATCCTATTTTCATGCCTGGAACATGTGTAAGTGGAAACAGGCATTTCGATCTCACGATCCATGTCACGGCCGTGAGATAGGCCATGACTCACAAATAAACGACCATAAAAGGAGTTCAACTTACATTCTAAAGGGGATCCAACTTTTGACATTATAAACAGAGTTTGAAAAGTTCTAGAGAGAAAGTGACTAATAGACACCCCTTGCAGCTTATTTGAGCAATCCTTCTATCATTGGAGCTCAAGTTTAGTCCCTTGGAGTGAAGATCGACATCACGAAGTAGATTATTATCATCTTCATGAGAATGAAAGCTTCAACTAATGTTTTTCTCTCCCCCCACCCCATGGAGTAATGCACTCTCTCACTTGGGTATAGAGAATCCTAGTTCTATGTGTTAACTTTGACCATGTTTGATCTTTGGTTTGTAAAACTTGATACAATTTATACAATTGAAGTTTTGCTTATAAAATTGTTTGAATCTTGATCACATTATTTAATTACTTCTTTGGCCTATGAAAGGGCATACCTGATTAGGTTAATAGAGTGCATTCGATTGGTGGTAGTGAATTGATTGCATGAATAGTGAATCGATTCATTTCTCTGAACAAGGTCTCAATCCAGTAGTGGGAGTCTTTGTTTTATTGTCTTGATTGTCAATTTCGTCTTAGGATAATCTCCTTCTAGGTAGTCTATTCAAGAGGGTTTGGTCTGTTTTAGTCGAGATTCCAAACTAATTCCAGAGTTTTCGCAATAGAAGTATCCAGTGAAACAAACTAAAGAGTAAACAACATTGCCCTAACTAAGGACTAGGTGGAAACATTGTCGATTGATGCTCTCATATCTGAATTCGAATCCAATTACCTTCTTTGTTTCATTAGTTTTAGTAATTGACATTATAACATGTTTGCTAGATAGCCGATAATTTGCTGAGTATAGTAGATTTAGAAACCCTATGTTGACAATTAAAATCAGTCTTCAACTATACTTCTTCTCGATCTTTTTTTGCGCTTGGGCATTGATTGGAGTACTAGTTCTATTGAGTGAACAAGTTATAATGTCAAGAAGATGTTATCTGGAAAAAAATTCTTTAGAAGATGTTCAAGAAGATCACTTCCTCACTAGTGGGCCATTGATTCAGTCTCGGGGTGGAAGCTTCCATTTCAGATAACATCCCTGAGTTTCTTGAGTACGTACTGGAAGAATATGCATCTGTTTTATACTTTGCTCCACATCTTAGGTAGTTCATCCTGATATTTTTTTTAATGATATATTAGTAAACACCACCTGTCACTTACCTTCAACATCCTAAGATAGAACACTCTATATGCCAAACTATCTTAATGTTTTTTTGGACAGAATCAAGTAGACTATCTAAGGCATGTTATCAACCAAAAAGGTGTGCCTACAGATCCCAATAAAGTTGAATCCATGATGGCCTTGCCTGTACCCAAATCTGTAAAGGAATTAAGAGGGTTCCTAGGGATTACTGATTACTATAGAAAATTTGTCAAGAATTATGGAGTGATTGGCAAGCCACTGATTGACCTACTGAAGAAAAAGTTTTGTGTGGTCTCATGATGCTCAAAGGGAATTTGAATGGTTTGCTTTATCTGATTTTATTAAGCCATTCACCCTCGAGACTGATGCAAGTGACATGGGAGCATGAGTTGTGTTCTCTTAAGAAGGTAAAGTTATTTCATACCATAGTTAGGCATTATGTCCCAGGAAATAAGGGATATCTACTTATGGAAAGGAGTACTCGGTTGCACTGTTAGTAATCAACAAGTGGAGAAATTAGTTAGAAGGAAGGAAATTCACCATTGTCACTGATCATGGAAGTTTCAAGGATGGAAATTCATCATTGTCTCATACTTTGAGATTCAATATAGACATTAGTTAGAAGGAAGGAAATTCACTATTGTCACTGATCATGGAAGTCTCAAGGAAGGAAATTCACCATTGTCTCAAACTTTTGACTAGATTGGTTGTGATGTGTGTCTGAGGTACAATGATAACACCAAAATTAGTGTTATTTACCCTACATATCGATGCGAGTTTTGTGCCAATTCATGTGCTTAAATGCTTGAACATCATCAAATACATCCTTATTGCGTTCCTATTTGATTTCGATGTGATTTTAAGGTGTATTAGTCGATATGTGCGAATTAGTTACAAAACAAGGTCACAAGTGTAGAGAAGGGGCAGGAATTGAAGATCGTGGCCTAGAAGCCAAATATCATGGCCGTGATCACAAGCCGCAAAGTCCAGCTGAAAATCGTGGCCTAGAAGCCAAAGATTGCGACCGCAATCTTGGAGGCTCAGGACGCGAACTTCGCGAGGAAGGAGCCTAGGAGAAACAGAGAGTCTCCACAATCAAGTCATAACCAACGTTCATATTGCTCGAAAGGAAGATTGCAGATGTGACTCATGGATCACAACCGCGAAGTCAGTTCGCGATCTTCCCCTTCCCAAAGGCCTCGGCGACTGCGTTTTGAGATCACGACCCATAGACCAAAGATCCCAGCCGCGATCTACTTACCTCAGGCTGCGAACTTTCCCGAATCCAGAATGCCTATAAATACAAGACCTCTTTCCCCTTTTGAAGAGAGCTGATTTTGAGAGAAACTTTCTGGTTCTAGATAGAGAGAGAAGAGAGAGAAGCTGAAGGAAGGAGAAGAGAAGGAGAAGCTAGGAGCAAGGAGGCATCTTCTTCAACCCCGAGTCTTCTTCTATTTCTACCATGTATTTTCTTTCCTCCTTTATGGAGTAGTCCTCTACGGTACTAGGGATTCTAAACCCCAAAGCCTAGTTTAGTGTTTACTATGATGTATGGATAGTATAGGATTTGAATGAATGAATGTGTTTGTCTAGTTGATTTTAATGCTAGTCTTTCCTAAATGATGACGCTTGGGTAAGTCTCCCTAATCTTCCCTCTTATCCTACTTTATGCTACAGCGCTGGGTATGGAGTTCTAGGGTTAGACGGGTATGTGCTATCTGGCGAGTTTAGGTTAGATGTGTGAATGGGGACCTGTAGTGGTCGAGGTGACCGAACCCCTGCTATAGGTAGCCTTCCTAGTTGGAACCTGGGATGAAACCTCGGTGTGGGCGGTGGATAGTGTCTATTGAGGTTCCGGAAAGGCAAGTAATTTTTTATTACGGGGAAGATAAGATGATGATACATCTCGCAAGCGACCGACGAGGGACTTCATCCTTGTTCAAATCCTACGAAGGGTTGACCTCCATGAACATTCAAGCTCCCCCAGCCAAGTTGAATCCGACACTCGCAACAATACCTCCTTCCCAAAAGAATGATGTAACATCCCTGAAAGAAGAGGCAACAACTCGTCAAATCATTAAACAAAGCTTCAAGGAGATAACCCGTCCCCCATTCTTTTGTGACACCACGATTAATCTTCCTTCCAGGTCGACAGTAAAGAGGGGAACCAATCTGCTTCATGGTTTTCACTTGGGTCTCCATTAAAAGGGTGAGTTTGATGATACTAGCCAAGGTGAGGGGGATCCTTCCACTTGAAGACCTCTCTTGATCTTAATGTGCGGCGAAAAGACTTCAAAGAGGTAACCCAACACTTTGGTTTTTTTCCTCTACTTTATCCTTTTAAATAATTTTTTTGTAGAGTCAATTAGATTAGGCCTCGGTTGCTCCGAAATTGTCTTTGGTCTTTAGAACTAGGGGGAGTACTCTGAGGAAGCACTTGATCACGGCCTCCAAGGAAAGATCGCAGTCGCAATCTCGTGATACCAGCCTGCGGTCCTGCTCATCCTCGGGATTTAAGCACCCAGTGGGTGGGCTGTGCGAATTATGTTCCCCTTTTATGTTGATTTGAGTTGAGCTAATTCATGGAAGTGTCTAGCCAAATCTCTCCTATCCAAAGTAAGTGGCTTCTT